TTGCAAGCAGAGCCTCCAGCCCTAGTCAAGTTTTCATATGAATACTGCCTAGCACAGTGGTTCTCAACCTTGGCTGCACATTAGAATCACCTGGGAATCTTTTTAAAATCCTGATTTCTGGGCCTCATCCTCCGGAAATTCTGTTTCTTTGTTACTAATGTTGTGCCCCACCCCATAACAAAGAAACAATTTCCGGAGGATGAGGCCCAGAAATCAGGATTTTAAAAAGATTCCCAGGTGATTCTAATGTGCAGCCAAGGTTGAGAACCACTGCCCTAGCACATATCTTGACTCATTTCAGATCCTGAGCCAGAACCCAGTTACATGCTCTGAAATTCCTGACCCATAGAACCTATGAGATAATTAACTCTTAGTTTTAAGCTGTTACTTTTTTTTCAGCTGTTGAATTTTGAGGTGATTTACTCTGCAGCAAAGTAATAGTCAACTACCAAAGCTTCAAGAAAAACTACACAACCTGAATAGCCCTCTATGAAAGGTATTGAGTTAGTAGTTAAAAACCTTCCAACAAAAACTCCAGGCCTAGATGGCTTTATTATTGAATTCTTCCAAATATTTAAGAAATAGTACCAGCTATTAGTTTAATTGTTGCTCCTTTCGATGTCTTTTTGTTGTTTTTTTTTCTGGCAGCTTTAAGCTTTTTCCATCTTTGGTTAGCAGCAGTTTTACAATGATGTGATTTCATGTGGTTTTCTTTTGATCCTGTTTAGGGGTTCATCAGGAATCTTGAATCTGTGGTTTGATGTTTTTTATTGATTTTGTGAAATTTTCAGTCATTATCTCTTAAAATACTGCTTTTTTTCTTTGTCCTTTCTTTCTGGACACTGATTTATTGTTAGATCTCACTGTATATTCTGTCACAGATATTTTGCTAACTGCTATATTTTCATTGTTTTGTCTCTTTGCATCATTCTGCATATTTTCATCTAACTTATGTTCATTCACTAATTCTCTCTTCAACCATGCCTGTTCTGTTGTCAATCCATTCATCGATTCTAATTTCAGCCATGGTAATTTTCAGCTTTAGTATTTCCATGTTTTTTAAAATATAGCTTTCAATTATTTGCCCAAGCTCTCCTTAGTTTGTGTCCGAAAACTGCAATATCTGGATATCCCGCAGATCTGTTTAAATCGAAGCTTCTGCTGGTATTCATTGTTTCTTGGTGTGGCTTTTTATTGTGTCCTACAGTGTACCTGCAAAACTTTATAGATTTATTTTGAGGCTTACTGCATTAATTTTCTATGGCTGCATAACAGTATTACCACAAACTAAGTGTCTTAAAACAATACACATTTATTATCTTAGGTCCTATGGGCGAGGAGTCCAAGCACAGCTCACCTGGGGACTCCGTTTCAGGGTTTCACATTTCTGCAATCAAAGTGTCAGGTGTGGTCTCAGCTGAGGTTCCACTGGGAAAGATCCATTTTCAAGCTCACATGGTGGCAGCATATAGTTCCTTGCAGACTGCTGCACCAAAGACCTACTTCTTGCTAACTGTTGTTTTTCATGTGGCCCTCTCCCAAGGCCAGTTCATAACATGGCAGCTGGCTTCAAAGTCAACAAGGGAGAGTTCACTAAGATGGGCATTAGAATATGATGTACGCATGTGTACATAATCACATAGACCTCATCATTTTTGTGGTATCCCTATTGATTAGAGGGAAGTCATATTTCCCCCACTCCACACACAAACAAGGCATACCAATTACAGGGGTTGTGGGGGCCACTTTGGAGTCTGTCCACATACCTAGGATGTTAACATCCTTTTGAGAGAATTTAAATTTGTTTCTGCCAAGCACCTGAGTGCTCTAAAAAATCATAATCTCAATCCAATTTCAGGGACTAAGAATATTCAAAGCTGAGCTGCCATCCCAGGGTAGGTATGCTTATTTCTGGATCATTCTTACTTCAAATGGATAATTCTTACTTGTTTTGGAATTGTTACTCAAAGAGGAAAGGTTTATCACTGCAGGCCTCTTCCCCCTGGTAGCATGATATTGTCAAGATAACCACTCAGCATCTCAGACAATAATTACAGAATTAGCCAACACTTCTAGGAAAAAGCAGCTCACCTACTTGGGTTTCTGTGCTTTGGTAGCAGTTGTTCATTATTATCAGCTCTCTCAAGTCTTTAAGCAGATGTTTTAAATTTTTTGTTTAGCTATCAGCTTTTCTAGATGTGCTTTTTAGAAAATCTGGTCCAAATTACTTGATCTACCATTATAATAAATAAAAGTCTTATGTTTTTTTTTTTACTACCATAATTTGTAATTTGTTACTGGCCTCAACATATAGAGAAATAATAATCTATAAGAGTAAATGTGTTTACATGTAATCTAACCTGTTAATTTAAAGATTTATTTTTTCAACCTGAAAGAACGAATTACAACCTACCCATTTCCCCCCCATTAAATTATATTGAACTTTTCTATTTCTGGAGCTTTCCATGGTGGAAAAGAAAAATTCTAATATTTTACACAATGGATATATATGCCTAAAACACAAGAGCCTAGAAATTAGCATGAAATTATAAACTTTTTTACATCACTTGCTATTTTGCTAACATTCTACACGAATCAGTATCTTAAATATTGAGTATTTCTACAAATTACATATTATATCACTCAAAACTGCACAGTAGAAATAATACACTGATTAAACCAGTATACTGGAGTTATAGTTGTGATACTAAGTTTAAAATATTTGAGAAACATTGATTTGTATTTAATTTTAAAAGGAAGTCTGGAATTGATGAAAACTTGGGTAATAGATACTGCATCCCTACCTTTAAAATACACTAATTTGGGTGCTAGCTGGTTTGGCTCAGTGGATAGAGCATCAGCCTGCAGACTGAAGGGTCCGGGGTTTGATTCCCGCCAAAGGGCACATGTCCAGGTTACTGGTACATGTCCAGGTTGCAGGCTCGACCCCCAGTAGGGAGCATGCAGAAGGCAGCCAATCAATGATTCCCTCTCATCATTGATGTTTCTATCTCTCTTCCTCTCTGAAATCAATAAAAATATTTTTTAAAAAATAAAATACACTGATTTGGGAATAGAACATTATATATATACTAGAGGCCCAGTGCACAAAAATTTGTGCACTCGGGGGGCGGGGGAGGGGGGGTCCCCCAGCCTGGC